AGAGGCCAGGTGTGGGGGAGGAGAGGCCAGGAACGGAGGGAGAGGCCATGGAGAGTGTCTGCTAGGACACTGATCACAGAGGCCGGGGGTCAGTGGGTCACTAGGGCCTGTGCAGGGGTAAAGGGACGTGGTAGAGGCAGACTGAGGAGGTTGTTTACTGGCGCTCAGGCAGATCCTGGGTGAGACCTGAGCAGGTCCCAGGTGTGACGGGGAGGGTCTCCTTTCACTGCCTTAATTGCAGGGGGAGGTAATGGAAACTGCACGTTGGGGTCCAGACTGGGGCTGGGGGGATCTTCTCTCAGAATTCAGGGCAGGGTCCAGAACATTCTGTGCTGTAAAAGCTTATCTCCGGGGCTTTATCTTGGGCCCTTTCGTGGACCTTGGGGGTCCCTGTCCCCCAGAGTTAGGCTCGCCTTGGGCCCTCTGGCGTGACCTGAGCACTCACTCGCTGTCCCCTACGCTCCATGCCAGCCGTCTGGAGACAGCCACTCTTATTTGGCCAGGTCAGCAAAGTGGAAAGTGTGGGCCCAGTCTCCAAATCTTTGAGGTTTCAAGAATAGCCAGAACAGTAGAATTTGATGTCAAGTATCCCAGTTTATTGGGTTGTTGGGAAAGTCATGACGTGTGTTCTGGTTTTCTATGCAAAAATGTGTCGTGACTTTTCCGATGACCCAGTATAAACGTGAGCAGATGGTTCCAATCCGGAGCTCCAGGCAAGGGCCCCCTGTTTTTTGTTTGTTTGTTTGTTTTTTGGAGAGATTTTCGCTATAGGGTGCGTGCACTCGCCAGAGAGACAGAGACATAGAGACAGAAAGCGAGAAATCACCCCCCAGGGGGGATGGTCACACCGCAATCCCTTCTCCTCCATTCTCCTCTCGGGATCTTGGGCACACACGCACGCACACGCGCCTGGAGTGAGTTCTAAGCCCCCGGGTCCGGGACGCGAACCGCGGTCGACTAAGTGGGAGTCCAGCGACATAGCCATTACGCTAACTGCTGGTTCCCAGGTCCCCCCATTTCACAGCGGATCACAGTACGCACCCAAGCCCGTTCCCAACCGTGGGCAGGAGGCGGAGAAGGCCGCCCCGGGCTTCCTAGGCACCTACGATGTGCAGGGCCCCTTCTCTGCCATCCCTCCACGTTCGTCCTAACAGCCTGGGAGGCAGGGGCTAGGCCCGTCTGTCCGATGCGACTCCCCTGACTTACAGCACCAGGGAGCCTGAGTCAGGGCACAGCCCCATCCTGCCTGACCTTGACCCTCAGAGTGTGCCCTCGCTTCACACCTACCCATCCTCACACCTTAGCTTCCGGCCACGTCCTCCAGGAGGCCCTCCTGGGCACCCCTCACACCCCAGGCTCTCCTCTGCCCATCAC